GCCTCTCGACGCTCGCACCCTGTATTTTTGACGAAGAAAAACTTCGTGCTCAAACTAAGCCTCTGGCCCCCCGGATTACAGCAACAACGGCTCCCGCCTGAGACTTCCTCCGAATGGACTCAGGACCCCCGCTCCTGAGACTTCCTCACACTTTACTCAAGATCGGTGCTCCGGCCTGTGACTTCCTCGCAATTTAGTCAGGACCCCCGCTCCCATCTGAGATTTCCTCACAATTTACTCAGGGACGGCGCTCCCGCTTGAGACGTCCTCGCAATTGAATAAAACCTTCCTCGCAATTTAATCAAAACCTCCGCTCCCGCCAGAGAACCCCCCACATGTTATTCAAATACTGCGCTCTCGCTTGTGATTTCCATGCATTTTATTCAGAAATCGCGCTTTCGACGCTCAGGAAACACTCTGCGCCTAGGACGCCGCCACAATTTACGTAATAATCGCGCTCTCGCCAAACTTAGACATCCCGCTTGAATGCCCCACCCGCCCGACCCGCTCGTCAGGGGATCGCCCGCCCGTCGTGGGCTCCCGCCCGAGACATCCTTCAGGAACGGCGCTTTTGCCTATGACTTCCTCGAACGTCCACGTTCTTACCAACCTGCTTCTCCTCCCTCTCCCTCCTCCCTCCTCCCTCCTCTCCTCACTTCTCTCTCCCTCCTCTCCCCTCATCCTTATGCCCTATCTCCTCTCCCTCCTCTCCCTCCTCCCTTCTCCCTCCGCTCTCCTGCCTCCTCCCTCCCTCTTTTTTTTCTTTCTCTCTCTCTCTCTCTCTCTCTCTGTTTCACTCTCTTTCCCCTTATGTTATTTCTTTATTTTTTTTCTCTCTCTCTCTCTCTCTTTCCCTTTCGTTCTCTACCTCTCTTATATGTAGTTTTCTCTTTCGCTCTCTCGCGCTCTCTCTCTCTCTCTCTCTCCCTCTCTCTCGGCCTCTAATCAACCGCCCCCGTCTTCGCTCCTTCTCTCCTGGCGTTTTCCCTCTTCCGTCGTCCCTCCCCCTCCCTTCCTCCCACTCTCCCTCGTTTTCCCCCTCCTCTTTTTGCAAGGCCCACACCAAATCCAATGGCGGGCACATGTACGCCCACGAAAGATTGTCCGCCCGTTCAAGTTTGCCCGCCTGTCTAAGCCCGCCGCCCCCCGCAAAGAGAAACAATCCCCCCAAACGGGGTGTGATCGAATACCAAAAGGGCAGGTATCGAGGGTGTGGGGGGACTCACTTTGCACTACACACGGGAAAGTAAGAGCGAACAGTCTTAGAATGATTGTTGTTGTTGGTGTTGTTGTTGATGCTGTTGGTGTTATTGATGTTGTTGGTGTTGTTGTTTGTCGTCGTCCCACCCGCGACCCACCCGGCGACCCACCCCGAGACCCATCCGCGACCCACACGCGACCCACCCCGCGACCCACCCGCGACCCACCCCGCGACCCACCCTCAAGGGAAAAAAAAACACCCATACCCGACAATTGACGTTTACTGAAAGGCCCTGGGCGTTGCCTAAACAGCCATGCCCTGTTCGATTCATTCCTTGTGTGCGTTTACTGAACGGCTTCGCTTGTCGGGGTGACCATTATGGGGTGGACCTTCTGCCCTCTATGCCCGCGACCCAATAGCGACCCACCCGCGACCTACCCAGATTGGTTTAACGAAAAATCGGCGCCTGCGGCGGGCTCGTTGTATCATTTGTGAATTTTTGACGCCTGCGGCGGGCTTCTCCGGAGTTTCGCACACTGCCGACGTCCCAACCGCCCCCTCATTCTTATCCGCGTCTGCGGGGTGCTACGTATGGATGATTTTTGTTCGTAGTGAATTGTCCACTCCACTGCTCGCGCAAGCATCCCACCCACTCACCCGCAACTTGGTTTGCAAACATCATGCTGTTGCGATTAAGGTGTATGCTCGGTGCTGG